ACACAGAGGATTACATTCTAATGTTTCCTGTAGCTTTATATATAATAACCTGTGGTGTAGTAAATTACTTAGTGTGGCTTTTCTACCCTAAGTCTTTGTAAACTCCAAGGTGGGATTTTCTATGAGCAACTGAGGAGCTCCTGATTGCTGAAGTTGTCCACCTGGGTTATTTCTGTTGGGCGTGGCACAAAACAATGTTCTGAGAGGTTCCCACTCTCTCTCAGGTGCTTAGAGTTCTGATGCTATGATTGGCTAGTTTGACCACCCTGCCGGGCTCAAAAGGAGGCCTCCTAGAGCAGAACACTCTCTGACTGCTGGTTGAGGAAGACGTGCTGCTGAAAGAGACACGGGCTCCTGAGACACGCATTGCTGGGAAAGAGATGCAAGAGACACACGTTGCTGAGTAAGACACCAAGGGACGTGCACTGCTGGGGGAGAGACTGTGAGAGACTTGGCTGAGAGACGGTGCGCTGGGAGAGAGACTGAGCATTTTTCCTGAACTTGAATTGTAGCCTGTGGTGCTTCCCTAATAAACCCCATAACCTGTGAGTTCTGTGTGGCCACTGCAGCGAATTATCGAACCCAGGAGAGAGGTGGTGGGTGCTTTGGGAGGAACGGTTGGTGAAAGGGCTGGAGGGAGGTAGCATGTCTGGCCTTGCAGGAATAGGCCTTGTGCTATTAATGGTGATTCTGTCTTCCTCTTGTGGGATTAGAGGAGGTCAGAACATGCGGCCTCCTTGCCCTTTTTGCATAACCCCAAACTGGAAAAATCCAAATGTCCATCAACAGGTGAATGGATAAACAAATTGTGGTATATACATACCATGGAATACAACATAGCAATAAAAAAGGAAAGGATTCCTGACACATGCAACAAAATGGATGAATCTCAAAGGCATTACGTTAAGTGAAAGAGAGCCAGGCACAAAAGAGTACACACACTATGATTCCATTCACAGGAAATTCTGAAAAAGGCAAAATGATGTCAAAAAGTAAATCAGTAACTGTCAGAGGTCAAGGACTGGGAAAAGGTATTGACTACAAAGAGGCAAAGAGAATTTTTAGGGTGTTAGAAATATTCTGTATCATTGACTATGGTGGTGGTTATCTGACTGAATATATTAGTTAAACTCATCAAGCTGTATATTTAAATTTGACGAATCTGGTTATAGGTAAATTATAACTCAAAAACGAAAAGGAAAAAAAAAGATTTCTTTAAAAAGATAGTAAAGTTTACAAATAGAGCCCTTACAAATTTATTTTAAAAACAGTAAAACAAAAAGACAAAATGGGGAAAGGAACTGAAAAAGGTAAATTACAAAATGAGAACTACAAAAAAGTTTACAGTAAATGGTGAAATATTGAAAGCTTTTGCCGTCAGATGGGAAGTGAGACAAGAATATTCACTGTCACTACATCTATTCAGTATTGTACTAGATGTCTTAGACTACAATAAGGCAAATAAATATATAAATAAATAATACATGGTGTAAGAATCTGGATAAAAGAAACAGAAATATTATCATTTGCAGGTAAACTGACTATAGAAAAGTCAAAATGGTATGATTATTAGAATTATCTCTGGATATAAAATTAACACACAGAGATCAACTGTAATAAGCACATGAGAACATGTTCAAGATCATTGGCACTAAACCACCAGAGCTCCCCATTGGTTATTAGGGAAACAAATTCAAAAACCACAGTGTGACTCCACTTCACACCCACTAGGATGGCTATAGAGAGCCCTGTAACAGTCTTTCACATGCATAGTCATATCTAATTTATGACAAAACTGACAATGCAGTGCAATGGATGAAAAAAAAAGGTATCTTCAAAATATGCGACAGGGTCACTTATAACAACAACAAAAAATTGTGTAACTAACAATGACCTTGACTCTCATCTTACACCATACACACACACACAAAAGAATTGAGATGAATTCTAGATAAGAATGTAAATTGTAAAACATTTAAAAAAAAAAAACACAGAATAACATCTTTAAGTTGTTAAGTTTAAGATATAGATTTCTTAAACTGGATTCAAGAAGCATCACCTATAAAGGAAAAGATTAATCACAAAGAATTTCTGTTAATTAAAAGATATCTTTAAAGAGTAAACCAGCAAGAAATAGAATGGGAGAATATATTTGCAATGCACATTTCAAACAAAAATACCATTATCTGTACTACGTACATTATATACTACATAATTTTTATATAATATATACACTATATGTGTGTGTGTGTTGATGTTAGGTACCGTTGAGGAGGCACTGACTCATAGCAGCCCTGTGTACAATAGAACGAAACACTGCCTGGTCCACCACCAGCCTCACAATCCTTGCTATACCTGAGCCCATCGTTGCAGCCACTGTGTCAATCTATCTTGTTGAGGGCCTTCCCCTTTTTTGCCGACCCTCTACTTTACCAAGCATGATATTCTTCTCCAGGGAATAGTCCCTTCTGATAACATGAACAAAGTAGGTGAGATGAAGTCTGGCCATTCTCGCTTCCAAGGAGCATTTCAGCTGCACTTCTTCCAGGACAGATTTGTTTGTTTTTTTGGCAGTCCATGGTACGTTCAGTATTCCTCGCCAACACCACAACTCACAACTCTTCTTTAGTCTTCCTTATTCATTGTCCAGCCTTCATATACATATGAGGCTATTGAAAATACCATGGCTTGGGTTAGGCACACCTTAGACTTCAAAGAGGCATCTTTACTCTTCAGCATTTTAAAGAGGTCTTTTGCAGCAGATTTGCCTAGTGCAATACATCTGATTTCTTGACTGCTGCTTCCATTGGTGTTGACCGTGGAACCAAGTAATACAAAATCTTTGACAAAGTCAATCTTCTCTCCATTTACTGTGATGCTGCTTACTGGTCCAGTTGTGAGGATTTTCATTTTCTTTACGTTGAGGTATAATCCATACTGCAGTCTGTAGTTTTAAATCTTCATGAGTAAGTGCTTCAAGTCATCTTTACGCTCAGCAAGCAAGGTTGTATCATCTACATATTGCAGGTTGTTAGTGAGTCTTCCTCCAATCCTGATGCTGTGTTCTTCTTCATAAAGTCCAGCTTCTCAGATTATCTCCTCAGCATACAGATTGACTAAATACAATGAAAGGATACAACCCTGAAACACACCCTTCCTGACTTTAAACCATACAGTATTCCCTTGTTCTGTCTGAATGACAGCTTCCTAGTCTATGTACAGATTACTCATGAGCACAATTAAGTGTATTGGAATTCCCATTCTTCTCAATGTGATCCATAATTTGTTATGATCCACACATGCTTTTCCATAGTCAATAAAACACAGGTAAACATCTTTCTGGTATCCTTTGCTTTCAGCCAAGATCCATCTGACATCAGCAATGATATCCCTAGCTCTACATATGTTAAGTTTTGGTACTACATACTTCCTCTGTTTTTCTGCTGTTTGGTGCCATCAAGTCAATTCCAACACCTAGTGACTCTAGCGGACAGAGAAAAACAGCAAAAGATTGCCATGTATTTTCTTCTAGAGTCACTGGTGGGTATGAACCACAACCTTTTGGTTAGTAGCCAAGCAATTAACCACTATGCACCCAAACCAACCAAACCAAACCAAACCCATTGCTGTTGAGTTAGTGACTATATAGGACAGAGTAGAGTTGACCCGTATGGTTTCCAAAGCTATAATCTTTACAGAAGCAAACTGCTGTATCTTTCTCCTGTGGAGCAGCTGGTGGGTATGACCCTTTTGGTGGGTGAACTTTTTAGTGGGTAATAACCTTCTGGTTATTAGCCAAGCACTTAACTACTGCACACCAAGGCTCATTATTGTGCTACAGGGCTCCTTAAAGAACTTCTACACGTCTCTCCCAACCCCCCTCAAAAAAAAGGCAAACCAATATACATATTTAAAAAATGGGTGAAAGACTTGAACAGGTCCTTCACAAAAGAGTGTATGCCTATTGGAAATAAACATTTAAAATGTTGCTCAACTTCATTAGTCTTCAGGGAAATAGAAATTAAAACCACAACACAATACTAACACATGCCCACTAGAAAGGATAAAATAAAAAAGGCAGAAAGTACCAAATGCCGGCAAGGAGTAGAACAAGAGCTCTGACACACTGCTGGTTGAAGGATAGGGAAATGGTCACAACCACTTTGGAAGACTTTTTGATACAATCTACTATAGGTGAACATATACACACTGCTCTGGTAGCGTAATGCCTAAGGCACTTGACTGCTAACCAGAAGGCTGGTGGTTCAAACCCACCAGCCACTCCTCAGAAGGAAGATGGGGCAATTTACTTCTGTAGTGATACTGCCTCTGAAACCCAAGGAGGGGTCGTTATGAGTCAGGTCCTACTCGACAGCACATAACAACAACAACATGACCATATAGTTCTACTCTAATGTTTATATCCATCCTTACTAAGGAACATGGACTGGAATAGTCATGAAAGCATTACATTTTATAGCCCCATATTAGAAATTACTGGAATGCCATCAACAGTTATAAGAGTGAATAAATTCATATTCATACAACGGAATTATATTCAGCAATTACAATGAATAAATTGACTACATTCAGGTAAGGATGAATCTCGCAAAAATGTCGAACAAAAGTCAGACATGTAACAAGTATGTATATAATTCTATTTCTAAAAAGTATAAAATTAGGCAAAACCAATCTGTAATCTTACAGTCAGGGGAGTGGTTAGCCTAGCAGGAGATAATAGTGACTGAAATGTAGCATGAGAAGGTTTTTGGGGTGTTAGCATACCACGAATTCTGGTTATGGGTATGTTCACATTGTGAAAAATCACTGAGCTATATGTTCATGAACTTATACATTTTTCTATATGTATGTAACACTTTAAAAAATTAAAGAAAATTCTGTCATATTTGCACAAGGGTGACTATTTAGTCTTATTGAAATGAATAAAGGAAAACTACTGAATGGTGGGGTTGGGCTGTTTGTGTGATGGTTCTACTCACTTTTGTCCTGTAATGCAATTTGTTGTTTATGCAGTAATGCCACCTCCTGTCCCAAAGCTTTCTTCTGTCTTTCCAGTTCATTTCGAAGCACCAAAATTTTTAATTGCAGACATTCACTTTCTTTTTTCTAAGTAAATAAAATTACAGGTAAATTTGTGAATAGGAACGTAATGACTATGGATAAATTAAAAAATCAGAGTTTCTCAAAATACATCATGATTTAACCTGTGGACCTCTCAAGCAATTTAAGTATCAGTGATCATCACTGTAATGAAAAGAATATAGAAATAAGCAAAGAATAAGAACAGAAATAATTCTTCACTCTTTTTTTTTTTTTAAAGAATTCTAAAGATGCTACAATATACCTCAGGTCTCTTACCTAATGTCACAATAAAACAAGACAAATAATAATAATGAAATGGAGTCCTCAAAAAGTTAAACATAGAATTACCATATGACCCAGCAATTCCACATGAATATGTGGACATCAAGGTTAAAAATACAATGCCATTTACAACTATTCCAATACCACCACCACCCCCAAAAAGAGAAAAGAAATAGGTTTAATTCTGGAAAAACAGAAATGTACAGGCCTTGATTGTGAAAACTATACAATACTGATGAAAGAAATCAAACACATAATGTGTTCATGGATTAGAACACTTAACATGGTGAATATATAAATTTCTCCAAATTGATCTGTATATTGTAATTCTAATAAAAATCCCAGCAAGATTTCTTGTAGATTAGACAAGTTAATTCTAAAATATATATGGAAATGAAAAGGACTAGAAATGGCCAAAATAATTTTTAGGAACAAAAAAAAAAAATTGGAATAAAACTACTGAATAGACTCTTCTGGTAACGGGAATGTGTGTTTTCCTTATAACAGTCAATATCCTGGTTGTGATGTTGTTCTACAGTTCTGAAAGATGTCACCACTGGAATAAACTTCATAAAGGGTACTGCATTATTTCTTACAGCTGCATATGTAGTTATAATTATCTCACAATAAAAAGATAATTACAAAAATACTGATAATAGTAAGTGCTGACCTAAGACACAGAGCAACGAAACTCTCATGCCTGTGATGAGTCTCAAAATCTCATAACACTGAGTGAAAGAAGTCAGACTTAGAAAGTTATTGGAGGATTCCATTTGTATGACACTCTTTCAAAGACGAGAGGCAGTTGTTCAAACAGAACAAGGGAATGTTGTGTGGCTTATAATCAGGAAGGGTGTGCATAAAGGTTTGTTTTTTTGTTTGTTTTCCCTTTTTCTTTTTTTTTTAACTTTTAATTGTGATTTGGGTGAAAGTTTACAGAGCAAATTGGTTTTCATTCAACAGTTCATATACATTGTGTTTCATGGCACCTGCAATGCTGACAATGTAACAGCTTTCTTCTCACTTCTTCTCTGTGGTCACCTTTTTTCCCTGGGTCCTTCCTTCCTATGCATTCCTGCCTTCTGAGCTTTCTCCCTGCACAAATGCTACCCTTTGGATTTTCTATGGTTGATTGTTCTAAGTTCAATTGCCTGGTGTAATTGCTCACCTCATGGGTCTGTCTATTGTTTGGCTGAAGGGTAAGCCACAGGAGTGAGTTCAATTCTAAGTCCTAAGGGTAACTAGGGATCACAGTCTTGGGGGTATCACCAGTCTCTATCAGACCAATAAGCCTGGTCATTTTTATGATTTTGAGTTTTGTTTCACATTTTTCTCCAACTGTCCAGGCCCTACCCCCAGAGGAAGGAAAGGGAGAGGAAGCCAGGGCAACAAAAGCTTCAGGATCCAGATAAGGGGAAGGAGACTGCCCCGGCCCTGAAGCAGGAAAGGGAGGGGAACTCTGAGGTCAACAAAAGCCACAGGACCCAGATAAGGGGAAGGAGACAGCCACCACCCCCAGAGGCAGGAAAGGGAGGGGAACCCCAGGGAGACAAAGCCACAGGATCCCCGTAAGAGGAAGGTAGAGAGGTTTCGAACAGCTAAGGAAGAAGAACTTGTCTGTCAGTTTGTCTTACTGTGGTGGCTTGTGCATTGCTATGAGGCTTGAGGCTGTGCCACTGGTGTTTGAAAGGCCAGCAGGGTTGCACATAGTGCACAGGTTTCAATGCAGATTACAGACTGAGACAGACTAGAAAGAAGGAAGAGGCCATCCACTTCTCAAAGAATTGGCCATAGAAAACCTTATGAATAGCAGAGAAACACTGTCTGCTACATTACTTAGCAACTTTACAAATAGCCTGGAAATACTGTTTGATACAGTGATGAGGATGAGGCCCTTAGGTCAGAAGGCACTCAAAATATGACTGGGAAAGAGCTGCATCATCAGAGAAAAACCAGCTTTAATGATAAAGTAAAGCTTTTGGGATCTCCATTTGCTGACATGGCATGACACAAATTGAGGAGAAACAGCTGCAAACACCTATTAATAATGAGAATATGGAATGTATAAAGTATGAATCTAGGAAAATTGGAAGTTGTCAAAAATGAAATGGAATGCATAAAGATCGATATCTTAGGCATTAGTGAGCTGAAATGGAACAGTATGAGCCATTTTGAATCAGACAACCATATGATCTATTATGCCAGGAATGACAATTTGAAGAGGAATGGTGTGGCTTTCATCATCACAAAGGATGTTTCAAGATCTGTCCTGAACACAATGCTGTCAGTGATAGGATAGTATCATACACCTACAACAAAGACCAGTTACTTACTACTATTATTCAAATTTATGCACCAACCATCAAAGCCAAAGATGAGGAAATTAAAGAGTTTTATCAACTTCTGCAGTCTGAAATTGACCAAATGTGCAATCAAGATGTGTTCATTATCACTGATGACTGGAATTCAAAAGTTGGAAACAAGAAGAATCACTGGTAGTTGGAAAATTTGGTCTTGGTGACAGAAATAACACTGGAGATCACATGACAGAATTTTGCGAGACCAATGACTTATTCATTGCAAATACCTTTTGTCAACAACACAAATGATGGCTATACACATGGA